GATTTTCCTTCGGTAAAGTTATTTAAAGCAGCTTTCTGATGTCAAAAACGACCTCCGATAGTGTTTTAATTTTTTTAATTAATAGATTTTTATTACATATAAGTTTAATTAAGTGGGGGGGGGTCAGAAATCGCAATAAAAATTTTAATTTTTTAAAAAATATTTAAAAATATAGGTCTAGCTAGTATTCACCCTACTCTAAACCCTTGTCCTCCCGAGACGTCTATGAGAATGTCCCAGGAATTCCGACACCAGCTGATCTCAAGGTCATCCAGCTGTGTAAACAATGACTCATCAGTGTCAAATTTCACAGAAAGGCAGAAATTTCACAGACAATGGAAGTTAAACTTTGAAGCTTTTTCTTCAAAATTAATGCATTTCTTTCATTTTTTTCAGTTTTAAGTATTTTTTATGTTTAATTATAATTAATTAAAAGTTGATCAGGAACTGAGGGGTTAACAATTAAAAATTAACTAATTTGGTACTAGAGATAGACATTAGGTGCAGTCTCTTATCGAAATTAATAATTATAATAATTTAATATTTATTAAATAATTTAGAAGTCTGAGAAAAAATTGGTCCAGAGTGAGAGTTGAATCTGCAACCTACATTTACCGTGTGGTGCCTGCCCAGTGCCCGAATTACTTAATTTCTAATTATTAATTGTAGCAAAAAAATAGCCCAATTAATTACAGCAATTATTTAGTTTAGTATTAATACATCATGGCTTTTGGATGTTTGGGATAAGCCCCAAAAGAGGTCATAAAAAGATAATTATAACAAAATAATTAATAATTGTTGATAGTATGGAAATAGGTAATGAGATAAGAAAAGAAAAGCAGGAGGACAGTGAATATGAGACAGTAAAGTTTGGAAGATTTGGCAGGAATGAAAGATAAAACAAGAATTCCACTTGAAATTGAATGTATTTAGAACAGAAGCTTTTCTTTTTTAAATAAAGAAAACAGTCTGGAAGGTGCCCATACTATCAGAGTTTGTCTGCTCTAACATTTTTGATCTAATTAATTAATTTAAAGTTTGGAACATTTTTATGGTCAATGAAATAGAAAAAAATTTTTTTATTGCTGATAGAGAGTCTAAGAAGCCAAAATTATTTGGGCTAAGTGCAAGACTTGTTTGTTATTGATTTCTCCAATAAATTACTTTTTAAAGACTTGAGTAACAATAGAAATCAATTTTATTTATTTAAAATTTATCAAACATTTACCAATAATTGGTGATGTAAGCTGGATGGTACTTGGTACAGCAGTAGTTCCTGTAGTCATCATAGCTGAATTTACTGTAGGAATAACTATCATTTGCTTGGAAGGAGATGTTGTCATTAAAGGCAACTGTATAATTGATGGAACAGTGCCTGTTTGAGAATATTGTTGATTTATTTCAACAGCAGCTAAAATGTAAAATAATAAATTACTACTAATTTTATAATACTGTGAAATATTTATTAACACTTATCAATACAACTGTTTAAAAATATCATAAACACATACCATACAAGCAATTATGAAAAATGATGAATATGTTCATGAACTTATTACAACTTTCTTTTCTTTATTTTAAAATATTTACATTTAAAAATTGACAAAATAATGTACTCACATACTTCTTTTGCAAAAAATTAATTTTTTAAAATATAGAATTAGTATATTAAAACTACAATAATAAAAATTTTAAACAAATATTCACTAATCATCATCATAATTTCAATTCTAATAGGAAAATTCAACAAAAAAAAAATAAATTTTTTACATGAACATCTAAAAATACTCATGATGTATTAACTGCTATGTATAGGTATAAGAATTTTATAGTCAATTTAATTATGAAGTTAACTGAACTTTAAATTAAGATGAATAATTTTGTATATACATACATGCATATTTAATCATTTTTCAATAGAATTACTTAAAATAATTTTTAACAAATTAATTTAAAACTACTACTAAGCACAAAGAAACAACAACAAATATAATTACACTGAGAAACTCCAAATGGTAATTCTTGTGAAAGAACAGGAACACTTGAATGATTTAAAACTGTCAAAAATTAAAATTAAGATTATACTAATTATAATAAACTTTTATGCAAATAATTGCAATNATCACTACAGATGAATAGTTGCCAGACAGCCTGTTTTGGTATTTTAGTGCCTAAAAATTTTTGTTTAGAATTTAAAATTAGTTATCATTTTTTGCTTTGTTTAGATGATTGTTAACTTTCCAGTAAAATTTTTTGACAGCATTTAACACTAAACAAAAAAGGAAATCCTGAATAACAGTTTCATTCTTTTGTTTAACATTGATTTTAAATATATTTATTTTTCACCATCTTAACCTCTTGTTAAAATATGATTCTGAAATTTAACTACATGATTTAATTAGTATTAATATATATGAATTAAAGGGTTAGTTATTGATCATTAAATAAATGAATAAAATACATAAGGTAAGACTTTAATTAAGGGATTAATTACTTTTTATATTTGATATATATGAAGTTAAACATATATTTATTAACTATATGGAATACTTATTTTATAAATTTATTGAACAAAAAACTAAAAAACTATTAATGTAATTTTTGTCATTATAATAAAATTTTTAAATAAAATTATTTTTTCTTTTTACTTTATAGAAATAACAATTACACAACCAAAATCTTTTAAATGTGCAACATTATAAATTTAAATTTTGCATTGATGAAAATTTTATTCAAAATAAAAAAATAAGCTGATTTGTTATTAAATCCATTAAAACAAAATCATCAACTTTGCAAGACTGAATATTATAAAAATCAAAATTTTTTGGCTATAATATTATGATTTTCAGTCTCACAGAAATCTTCTTTTACATTATTAGAAGTTATAAACATTTAGTTATATAGTACACATAACACACAAAAACAGTATTTAAAAACTATCACCATCAGTTTATATGCATTATTAATTTCATTTATGTAATTTATTAATGAAATAATTTTTTGCATTTAACTTCTAATAGTTTCAGAAGATGTTAGTTGATGAAATATAATTTTTCAGTGCAACAAACAACAAAAAACATATCATACCTGAGGATAAAGGAGTGTATGTAAATGGATATGGCTCACTCAACTTATCTCCACTCTGCACAAACAAATGTACTTTTACAGCTTCAATCACATCCAATTTGTGATATGGAGGAATCAAACAAATTAGATGTGTCTAAAAATACATATTCAGTTAGAAAAGTTAAGAAAAAAGTTTCTTTAAATTTTCATTGTTAAAAGTATTATTATATTAATTATAATTATTAAAGTATTCTAATTTAATTACTGAAATCTTTATTTCTGACAAATAAATACATTTATATTGAAAATGATTAGAAAATTTGTTTAGAGTATTTAAATGTAAATAACTATAAAGCATATTAAACTTAAGGCATAAAAAATTTAAACTTTTATGTTACATTTAAACTATAAGTATGATCTTGATTCCAATAAAATTCTCCTCAAAAACCTTGAGAATATGAAATTCCTTTTTATTGCAGTATCTAACTGCTTAAGAAGCTTTAAAATAACTTCACATAACACTTATAATAAATCTTCTCAAAATAGCAGCAGCTTCATCGTATGTGCGTCATTTATGCATTAAAAAGTCTTAAAATATTCATAAAGTAATTCTGTTTTAACAGTTATTTGTTTTAGAAATTTATTATTAAAAAAAATATTTATATATAAAATATTTCTTATGCACCAACAAACTTTATATCAATATGATTGGAATTAATATAACTGTATTCCAAACACAGAATTCAATATAACTGCCAATTTGATGCATAAGTTATTATAATTAACATCATAAAGAAATCTGATTTGAAACACCTGTAATCATAGGATAGCTTAACATTACTGATAAACTCACAAGATATTTTGAGAATTTATTGTTAAACTTCAGTTATTTTATAAAGCTTAGTTTTGTGGAAAATCTTCAAATTATTACTGTACTTATGATGAAACATATTACTAAAATAACTAAATTACTTAAAAAGTTTTCTATTAAGTTTATTATTCCTTATACATATATATAATGCTGAATATTGCAGACAGTTTTTTTATATTTAATTTCNTTACTGTTATAATTTAGTTGAAAATAATTTTATAAGATTACACAGTATATATTTAAGAATTTTATTCTTTTCAAACTGAAAAAACTATTATTGAACTTTAAAATTTATTTATTTTGTTGTAAACGTTAAAATAACTAAGCCATTAAACTTAAAGTATAAAGTGAAGTATTTGTCAATATGCAAGTATTATTATTTAAAAAATTTTTAATAATAAAAACAGTAAATATTTTCAATCTTATTGTCAGAATAGAAAATTCCAAGCCTAATTATTGAATATATGATCTTGTGAAATTTTAACAGGACAGAGAATATCTATTAATTTTCCTAATTAATATAAAAGCAATAAGCATATAATAAACAGCATGTTAGAACAAAATATTTTATAATTTTAAATGAAAATTTTGATATTTTTAACATTAGTAAAACTACATAATTTTTGTTTTGGATTTATTTGTTTATTGTATTAATAATTAAATTGTTAATTTGTTAAAACTTTTCTAAGTACTTGCTTTACATGCAATGATTAGAATGGAACTGATACTTGTCTTTACAATTTTGTAAACTGCATAAAGTGACCCATATTTTTAAAACCATTATGTTAGTATATCTACTATTTTAACATATGACTAAAAAGACATGCCTCCAAATCTTTACTGACATCCCATTTCTTGGACAGTTGTTATCTCTGCACACACAAAAGATTATTATATTTATAAATTTTAAAAAAATATATGCATTTACACATATATGTATCTTAATTTATCAGTTCAAACTTTAAAATTAATCTTTAAAAGCAGAAAAACATCAGCCAAATTATGCACTGTGCAGCATAAGATTAAGAGGTCATGGAAGAAGATTTTAAACCTGGTCTGACATCTGAAGTGAAGACAAGGCCGAGTTTGAGTGGCACTAAATCACACCACTCTCCTATGCACTTTAGTTCCAAAGCCCCATCTCACCAAATGCTTATAGGTGAGACATGCTGAAAAACCACATCCTCTAAACCTGGAAACTAGGAAAAACAAAAAGGTTGTCAAGGTTAACACCCCATCCCCAAGGTTAACTGGTGAAGGACAGTTGAATGCATTTATTTAATATTACGAATAAAGATATAATTATTTTTTTCAGTGTTATCATCACTATTAACATACATATCAATCAGTTTTCATCAAAACACTTACACAATTTGCTCAATCACCCACTCAACAAATTCATTTATAAAGAAGATAAAATGGAAAAAAATCTATTTTATGAATTAAAAATAATAAACTAATTTTTTTATATATGTATTTAAAATATATCAAACATACAAAATATGTTTAATGTTGAAAATGTTAATAAATTTGAAATAACCAATAAATCAATTTGATTATTAAGTATATGTACTGTACAGCACATATTTTAATAGTTAACAATCTTAAAACTTTTTTAATATAAATGAAACTTATGATTTATTTTACTTAGATATTACATTTATTCCAAAAAGAACAAATTTTACATTTTTAATTTAATAATTCAAAATACTTAACTTATTGATTAATTTATGGACAATGTAATCATACCTGCAATATAACCAATTCAGAATATATCGAACAATTACAGTTGCAGTACAATTAAATTACAAAATAAAACAAGCTGATATTAGTCAGGTATTAATAAAACTAAGCATATTAACATTTTCTTTGTATGAACAAATATATCCAAAATAAAACAAATTTAATCAAAAGTACAATCATAATTTAACAAGTGTGAAAGTTGCCACATCTCCCTTATATTAACAACATGGTCACAATGAGGCAGCCAGGTGATTAGGGATAGGGTCTATATGTCTGGATGGACCACACCTAATAAATTCTTAGGAGTTTTCAACCCATCTTGATTCAGCCTTGTGTTTCAGACTGATAGGTTGCTACCTTAACCACATGGCCATTTGGCCTTCATATTGTACAAATAATGAAGTTTAGTGCAACAGGTAAGGAGTTTAACTAAAATTCTAACTCTTCAAATTATCTAGTCAGACAGAATTTTCTAACCCATGATATTTGTCAAATCTCCCTTATATTAACTAACTTTAATTAACTCCTCAGTAACTGTCTCTGGCTCACTGATTTTCTTTTCTCTCCCCCCAATAAAATGTAAGCTTTCTGATTATAAATTTCCTTTTTTTTTTTAAATTGAATCATTATACTTTTATATTGATACTGCAATCAATATATAAAATATTGCATATGAAAAAAGACCATAGAAAACTTTTGTGAAATGTTCCAAATATAGTATATTGGTACAAATATTCTAACTATAAAATTCCACACAAAATTATATAACTTAATCTATGAATATAGAACATTTATTAACTATAACTGCTTGATATTTTTCAATTTTTAAATTTACTTAAGATACACTTATTAAAACTTTTCCTCTTATTTAAAAAACAAGAACAAAAATATTTATATATAAAATATTTCTTATGCACCAACAAACTTTATATCAATATGATTGGAATTAATATAACTGTATTCCAAACACAGAATTCAATATAACTGCCAATTTGATGCATAAGTTATTATAATTAACATCATAAAGAAATCTGATTTGAAACACCTGTAATCATAGGATAGCTTAACATTACTGATAAACTCACAAGATATTTTGAGAATTTATTGTTAAACTTCAGTTATTTTATAAAGCTTAGTTTTGTGGAAAATCTTCAAATTATTACTGTACTTATGATGAAACATATTACTAAAATAACTAAATTACTTAAAAAGTTTTCTATTAAGTTTATTATTCCTTATACATATATATAATGCTGAATATTGCAGACAGTTTTTTTATATTTAATTTCTAAAGATAGCAGTCAAATAGTTAATTCTCATAAAGAATAATAATAAAACAATGTATGATTATATCTAATTTGATATTCTAATATTCTATTCAATAAACTATTAATTTTTAAAATGTAATTTTTGAACAACAGTATTTTTGCTAATATGAACCTTTCCATATTTAGAAAAAGACAATAATATTCAAGTGTTATATGTAAAAAATACCTTTAAATTTTGAAACATTTTCAATTAATATTCCATTTTATCTTTGCCTTTTATTTTCATACACTATCATATCACACTTTTGCATAAAACAACTCAAAAAGAATTAAATAGCAATATAATGAATTATGAAAAAAAAAAGCAGATTAAAATGTAAAAGTATTATTTTCTATTCATGAATGTTTCATTGAAGAAATTAAAATATTTATTCTATATATTGCTATAAAATTGATGACAACACTGATTGTATATTTACATATAAAATATTTATACATATATATATATAGGCTACGTATAATATATATTAAAAACATAAAATACTTAAATACTCCTTTTTATTAACACTTTTGCATTCCAAAATAGCCATCCTTCACCATTTGCCAATAAAAAAAACTAAAAGTTTTTTAAATAATAAAAAAATAAAAAGATATTTCATTATTGAAAAATTACTTGCGAACAATAAAAATTTTTTCAAAAAACAAAAAGATAATTGAACAAATAGGTTAAATAATTGAAATTTCTATAAATTTATAATTTATTAGTATTTTTTTTAAATAATATTTTCTAATATAAATTAATCCCTTAATTACAGTCATGTGTATGTTCAACACTTAAAAGTTTAAAAAAACAAAATAGAAAAAAATTAAGAAAGTATAGTAAAAAGAGAGATTTATTTATTACAAGATAAATATTATTTGTAGAAAATATTTATCATTTAGTTAAATTAGATATTTGTCATGTTATTAAGTTAGTAAAGATTATCAAATGGATAATATAAAATTAGCTTTTGTTTTATTTGTTTGTTTAATATTTATTTTATTCATTGGCAAATATAAATTTATTTCATAAGTGAAATATATTAAATTTACATCATCAAATTTAAAATTTTATTTTATTTTCACTTTTATGCAGAAATGTGATTACAATATGAAAGATACAATCCAAATTTGCTATTTTGTTTTACAAATACTCTTATGTGTTAACATAAGATAATCAGCTGCATAATAGATCTTTCTTATTTTAATTCATATTTATCTTTTGTTTATTCATGTTTTACGTATTAGTTATTAAGTATTATTTTAAAAATTTATTCTATATTGTATTTGCAACTTTACATCTCAATTATTGTTTTTCTTATATAAAAATTCTTTTAAAGACTAATAAATAAATTTGTAATACTGATTCCATAATTTCAACTGAAAGGAAATCTTTAACCTAAAAATGATCCCATTTTTGTAAATATGTAATTACTTTAAAATTATTTAATATTTAACAAAGATAAATTTTCTAATTCTTCCTACATTATAAATATTTTTCAAAACTTTGAATAATGTATTTAAAATTTAAATGTTTTGAATGTGGATGGAGGGAAGTTTACTTTGAAATATTGATATAGATACAAAACAAAACATATTAGTTCCTTTTCTTCTTACATCTTTTGATTTAAAATGAACATTTTAAAAAATAAATTTAAAAATAAAGCATTTGTAATAGAATTATTTTTGTAGATGGAAAACTGCTTATAAAAATTGTTTATTAATAGAAATATATCATTTATGTTCACTTGTTTTATTATGAAAATTTATTACTTTAATTAGCAAGTTCATATGTAAAATTTCCAATGAAAATAAATATTAAAAAAAAATATATAGTCAAATCACAGTACAATGATTAATCAATATAATGATAAGAAATATAGCTCCCTTCACAATTTGTATTAATTTAATTTAAAGCATTTGAATGATATCCTCTATTCTGATATATCTATGTTTAATGATTACATTTTTTTTTACTGTACACATGGAAAGACAAAATATTTTCCTTTATTTGCAATAATAATAATAATAATAATAATAATAATGTAATATAAATTAGATGTAAATTAACTTTAATTTATCAATGTTTTCAGAGTCACTCTCTCTTAATATGGTGATCCTACCACAAACATTATCTGGAGTCAGTAGGCATCACTACAGATGAATAGTTGCCAGACAGCCTGTTTTGGTATTTTAGTGCCTAAAAATTTTTGTTTAGAATTTAAAATTAGTTATCATTTTTTGCTTTGTTTAGATGATTGTTAACTTTCCAGTAAAATTTTTTGACAGCATTTAACACTAAACAAAAAAGGAAATCCTGAATAACAGTTTCATTCTTTTGTTTAACATTGATTTTAAATATATTTATTTTTCACCATCTTAACCTCTTGTTAAAATATGATTCTGAAATTTAACTACATGATTTAATTAGTATTAATATATATGAATTAAAGGGTTAGTTATTGATCATTAAATAAATGAATAAAATACATAAGGTAAGACTTTAATTAAGGGATTAATTACTTTTTATATTTGATATATATGAAGTTAAACATATATTTATTAACTATATGGAATACTTATTTTATAAATTTATTGAACAAAAAACTAAAAAACTATTAATGTAATTTTTGTCATTATAATAAAATTTTTAAATAAAATTATTTTTTCTTTTTACTTTATAGAAATAACAATTACACAACCAAAATCTTTTAAATGTGCAACATTATAAATTTAAATTTTGCATTGATGAAAATTTTATTCAAAATAAAAAAATAAGCTGATTTGTTATTAAATCCATTAAAACAAAATCATCAACTTTGCAAGACTGAATATTATAAAAATCAAAATTTTTTGGCTATAATATTATGATTTTCAGTCTCACAGAAATCTTCTTTTACATTATTAGAAGTTATAAACATTTAGTTATATAGTACACATAACACACAAAAACAGTATTTAAAAACTATCACCATCAGTTTATATGCATTATTAATTTCATTTATGTAATTTATTAATGAAATAATTTTTTGCATTTAACTTCTAATAGTTTCAGAAGATGTTAGTTGATGAAATATAATTTTTCAGTGCAACAAACAACAAAAAACATATCATACCTGAGGATAAAGGAGTGTATGTAAATGGATATGGCTCACTCAACTTATCTCCACTCTGCACAAACAAATGTACTTTTACAGCTTCAATCACATCCAATTTGTGATATGGAGGAATCAAACAAATTAGATGTGTCTAAAAATACATATTCAGTTAGAAAAGTTAAGAAAAAAGTTTCTTTAAATTTTCATTGTTAAAAGTATTATTATATTAATTATAAATTTTTAGATATAAATAAATAAATTAATTAATTAAAGTATTAAAAACAGGCAGCTCCCAATTCATGAAGAGGTTGTGTTGTAAATGGAACATATTTCACCCCCAGAATATTTGTGTGTGTAGATGATGATAATTCAATAATTAAACAGATACCTATATAAGAATTTTTAATAGCTATTTTTACATAAACACACAATTTAATAAATAATATGCAACATAGTCATTTTCAACTAAAAATTAAATTAAAATATTTATGCTGAGTCAGAGCATTATGTTATAATAGTTTTGTTATCTATTTCATGTCTTTTGTTAATGTTATATAACAAAATAATGGTTTCACATCTGCTGGGAGAATTACACACATGGTGTACATAATTCTGTCATTAACCCGCCGGCACGCGCCTAGTGCCGATTAGGCACTAATCGATTTTTGATTAGTTCATGTAAAAATTCTAATTGTGCGAAAAATCTGAAAAAATTATTACCTGTCTAATTTTTCTTCAATTTTACGATGCGCAATTCAGTTTTTGCTTAAAGCGTCTCATTATTTTNTCCTAATTGTGTGAAAAATCTGAAAAAATTATTACCTGTCTAATTTTTCTTCAATTTTACGATGCGCAATTCAGTTTTTGCTTAAAGCGTCTCATTATTTTTATTTAATTATTGGTACTCAATCGGCACTATGGCACGCGTGATCTTGGATTTCAATTTTCCCGCCAGTCGCTGTTACTAAAAATAGCTGCAGCTACGGCGCACGCTTCTTTGCTTATAATCACTTTATTATAAAGCGAATAACTTCTAAAAAACTGAAATTTGACCGGAAATAATTTAATTTCTTTCATTGGTATTTTTTAATCATTTTATAAAGTTTTATGACACCATCACATTTCCCTGAGTGGAAGTAAACAATCTGTTAGCCATTTGACCCTCAGCTGACAGAGAAGGAAGTTTTTGAAAACAAAGTAATAGAGCGATTAGCAGTTTGTTGTTTTTCACAGTGGAGGACTAATAAGTCTATATAATAGACTCTAGTAAGACTTATTAGAGTCTATTATTTTTCAGAGAATAAATAATGGAGTTGAAAAATAACACAATTCCGTGAAATTTAACAAATCTGATGTCAATAAACGAAAGTTGAAATTATTTATAGTGAGTTGATATTTTATAAGTATAGTTTTTGCATTTACAAATCAAATTTTAAAAAATATTAATTTTTTTATTTAAATAAATTTAAAAAAAATAGAATTTTTATTATTTAAATAAAAATTCTATATTTTTACAACAAGTATTTTATACTGTTAGATAGTAGAGAAAACGTATAAATCGAGGATTTAATCGTAGTCAAGCATTTACTGTATATTAGTAAAAATAAAAAAATTGCATTAATTTGCTTTATATATTTTACCGTTACATTGCGCCAAGTAAGCATTAAACTACAGTCAGTAATATATATTATTCTTATATAAATTTATTAATTATAATAAACATATACTATGTCTAAAATTACATTAAAATAGCACTCTCTAATTAACATCTGAAATGAAGAAGTAATTAAATCGGGTCCCACCGCCATCTTAAATAACGCGCGACTGTAATTGATCGATTCTGAGCGTGTCGTGTTGCATCAAATTAAATAATTTATAAAAATTAAAATAACAAATATGTTTACAAAATAATTGACTATATCTATTCGCAATAGTACTCTAACACACATCGTACTTATAGTTTAGCATTTCTGAAAACATTTAATTAATTTTTGAATTTTCTTATATTTTGTATATAAAATGCGAATAAAAAACATAAATTCGTGAAACTTAATAAAAAAAAATATCTGCAACTTCAGAAAACACATATATATGAGAATCTATCAAAAAAAGTTAGCTAACAATAACTAAAATCGAGAAAAAAATAAAATTTTCAAGGTACGGTAATTTCTGTGGTAAAAAGTGAGGTAAGCGATCACATGATGCCTGTCTCCCCATCGTCAGTAACCAAAACGGACGAGGGTGAAATAAAAGCGGAAACACCAGTAGAAGTAAAAACAAACATCGCCGCGTATCTGGGACTATAAACTTGAACGGGAGCGAAGATGAAACACAACACTTTGTAATTTATGCTAATTACCTTCTAATATTAAAAAATTAAAATCATCAATAAAATTACAACAAAATTAAAGTTTTTTGACTAAATTCGACTACAAACATATCGTAAAACTGGATTAAAGTAAATATACCCATTTTTTGACGCTAAATTTTTATTAATTAATTTTTTAATTTGGTGCCTAATTGACCGAGCGCGCACGTGCCGACGGGTTAATGATGTAAATACATTTTTAGTATTATAGTATTATATCAATGCTTTCTCTTGTATTTTTTTGCCTTTTTATTTTCTTGTTTTTTGTGTAATTTTTAGCCTAGTCATAAATTGGACCATCATAAATTCAGGGGTTGCCTATATATATACTGAAGATATAATTACACATTCTTTTTGAAATTACTTTAAACTAGATTTGTTGGATTCATTAATAAATGCTGTTTATTTAAAAATCTTTTTATCATTATCATTACATGTATACAACAAAAGAAGTATTCTTAAATTTATAAAGTACATCTAAGAAAAATTTCAGCACATTTCTATTTTCTTTGATATCGCTGCTTTTGGATGCAATCGTTCAAACTTCACCGGTCGGGACCACGAGATCGTCCATGATGCATCTTCAATGAAATTAACCTATCTAATTTCAAAATTTCTCTCCGTTGCATGTCGGCCTAGGTTGAATTTTTGTTGATGCATAATGAAAAGTTCCCGTTTTTGAAAAAAATAATCGTAGCTATTGTATTATTTTTTTTATTTTGCACAAACAATATACAGGTTTAACTCGATTATAATGTCATCGAATGTAACGACAACCCTAATATAACGTCAAATTTTTATCAGTCCTACAATTTTACTATACTAGATAATTTTATTTTACTATTACTATTTTATTTAACATAGAAAAAACTACATGTTCGGTCTTAAGGTCAGAGTTCACTTCTTAGAATGACTGTGGGTAGTACTCTCCCCTACCTGACTTCGGTGGGGTGAGGTGGCTGTTTTGACTGTTTGTAGAAGAGGGTCGCCATTTTGTATTTTATTTTGACTCGATTCTCGGTCCCGACTACCTACGAGTCTGGATTTTTTTATGCGCAAATGATTTGGGCACCTAATACTCTGTGCCAAATATCAACTCTCAACATGTACTCCTTCATAGCTCTATGCTGGTAAGAACATCAGGCAGTACGATTTTATGAACAAGACATAGTCTTGTCAAAAATTTAGTTGTATACATTGTTGTATTGTATATATAAACAAGCTATTAACCAATTATGAATCATCTTTTTTGAAGTTTGTTTTCATTATCCAAGACTGTTTCCTATACTTTGCAAAAAAGTGCTGAATATTTACATGTATAAAAGATCAATCAGACATAGCTAAAAGCAAGAGAACATTTTAGACATTTTAAAATTTCTCCCAGCTAAAACTACTCACACTTTTAAATAATTTAAAGATTGTACATTTTAAAATATATTTAAGTTTACATTTAAAATAAGGATTCATATTCTTTGGCTTCAGGATATGTCTCAGTTATGTTTTTTTAAATATTAATATATAATGTGGGTAAAATTTTAGATAATGTTATTTTGTGATACTTTACATTATATATACTGATATTCTAATGTATAGCATGTCTACTGCAAAATGCATATTTTTTGCTAAATAAAAGGGTCATCTAATATTTGGTCCAAATTTCTTTTTTCAAAAAATAAGAATTTCAGAAGTGGGAGTCAACTTATATTTGAGGTTGAGTTTAATTCAGGCCAATATTACACCTTTCTCTCAATTTCCAGCATTCACTGTTTAAAATTTTTATTTTTTCACTTACATTGTTTACTAGAGACAGTTTAATATTTTTGTTTGTAATTATTCATTTAGTTTGTTAAAACTAATTCAAGAATAATTACATCAAAGAAAAATGGTGTTATTCTGAACTTCAAATCTGCTATAGACATTCAATATTGAATCTGCTTAACCTGTCACAGGCCACTAAAGGTAGCTGAAAACGTTTGTTTTTTAAACAGTGAATGCTGAAAATTGAGAGAAAGGTGTAAATTTTCATGTTTATAAGATATTAACTCCTAAAACTGGAACTAAGTTTAAATGGTAATTATATCAGTTAACATTAAAACAATACCATTATTTACTTCTTTAATTAAAAATATTTCCTTAAAAGAATCATGCATCTGATGTTTTTACAGTTCTATTTCTACTTTTTTTTTTGAAACAAATCTGTTAATAGTAACTTAGATATAATTCTAGAAATATTTTATTCATTTTATAATTTTTTATCTACAAATCAGAATGCAGATTAAATTGCTAAAATTGATGATAATAAAATTAAAAAAAAAATCAATATTTTTATTTTATAATATATTATTTATATAAATAATATATATTAATATAGAAAATGTTCTTACTGGCTGTAAATATTCTTTCTCAGGTTCTACTTCAACTTCCCATGGCTTGTTTTCAACTCTATTTTCTGAATTTATTGGTGAACCTAAAGAAATAGCTAAAATTAAATAAAAACATAATATAGATTTAAGAGATTCATATTCAGTTTTATAATTAAATAACACACAAATCAGTATATCCAACTTATAATATTTTTAAAAACTATGTACAGTACATATTTCTAATTTAATGTTTACTGTAATTCTGTGCAAATAACAATGGTTTATTTGTGTTTAAAATTCAATTTTAAAACAGACATGGATTATTTGATGATACAGATTGTCTACCAATTTTAAATTACAACTGCAAACTCATCACATAGCTTTTCCTTTGTATAAAAACTTACTAAAAACATTTTTTTAAAATGCAAAAAATTCTACTTATGACACAAACACATTCTTTGTCATTGCAATTTTTCCCAAAATTATCAAAGGCCTTTCTTTATACATGTATGATCTGTATATATACCTCACCTTCAATTCTCTCCTGTTTCCCATACGTCAATCCATATTTTAATTTATATTATTAGATATTCCTACTTGAATTTTTACTTTGAAAACAAACTTCTGGTAAACTTTTTCTTCTATAAAATAAACAACTCTCATAAAACTATTTAGAACAGAATGTTCATTTTTATTCTATTTTAGTTCTTACAGTGACTAGAAGCTAAGAGACTAACACTCAAATCATGTCAATGGACATCACTGAAATTAAACTATTTTATCTATAACTTTTTTCAAGGTTATTATAACTTATTATTAGATAAATAAAACAGAAATGAAGTGAAATGATAATAAGTTGTCCTGAAATCATAGTAACATCATGGGTCATGTCTGTGATTGAAAAATTTTCCAATTTTCAAAAGTGATAAGAAGCAAATAAAAAATAAATTATTTAAATTTATCATTTGCAATGATAATTCTATTATTTAATCACAAGGAGTCATACATTCTAGATCTTAATGAAATATAAACAAAGTGAATAAAGTAATTTAAATATCTTTTTTGTAACAAATGATATTTTATACTTAAAATTATTATTGGTTTTGTATAATGATTTTTAATTAAGTTCGCTCAATTTCAGATTTTTTTGGTCTGACAACATTGTTCTATGTTGATGGTGAGGGTTATGCAAAGTTTTTTTTGGTGTTAGTAGCTTTTCACCTTTTGTATTTGCACTGCAGGATTAATGCAAAAAATTACAGCAATTCATTGATACAGACTATCTATTTTATAAATTAAAAAAAGGAAAACAGAACTAGATGATTTCTTACATTTAGGTATATCTCTAAATATAACTTTTGTGTCTTTCAGAAAATTTTTTCCAATTATGAATAATTCACACTCTCCTTTCGCTGAACATGAAGGTAAAGAAACTCTGCATATTTCTGGAATACCAGGAGGCTGAGCTAAAATCAAATATATACATTAAAGAAAAATAATATACTGCAACAAATAGAAAAGAAATAATAAAAATAAATTATCAATTAATAATTAACAAATTTATTATACATCACAATAGAGAAGATTTTAAATTAAAACTAAAATGCAAAAATTCTTAGCCTGCACCTGCCCTCATATTTTAATGGCATTTTTTGTGTATTTATTTTATTTTACATATGTTATTTTTTATTTTAGTACATTATTTACATCGTTATTGTATTAGTTCATTTACTATATTTGTTTTATTTTATTATTTGTTATTTTATTCAGCATTTTGATTTAAATGTAAAAGTATTCAAACATTCTGACGTTTAAATATTAAGTTAAATACGCTCGAGAATACTTGCATCTGAAGATGATGTATCATATTAGGTCGAAAACGTTAATGTTTCTTTAATAAACGGTTTTTCTCAGCATCAGGTGTTCGATGATTTATTATTTAAGGAGCTGAGTAAGATATGTGATTGTCAAGATTATTTTATAAGAAAAAAAGAAAATTATTAAGCAAATTAATAGTTAATTTCATTTTTTTCCAAATTTTAATTATTTTCACATGCCACTTCATAAAAATTAAAATCTTGAACATTTAGATCATTTTCCAATAAAATTAATTTTATTGCACCATCTTTAGTCAGATTTATAGAATCTGAAGAAGAAAACATTCAAAAACTTATAGGAATTAAATTTATAACATAAAACCCTGCATACTTTATTGAACTTTTCAGTTTTAGGAAGTTTGATTATTTCATACTAACATCAACTTCAAAAATAGTAAAATTTAACTGAAATTTAATTTATTTTTGCCTTTTCAATGTAATGAAAATTTTTCAACAACATAATAATACTTTATGCTAAACTGCATAATAATCATGTATTCGTCAACACAAGAATGAAATTATAAATTAGATTTTGAAAATAAAGTACAGTCGACCCCCCTATAAGATAGAGATATGTTCCATTCTCTAGGAATCCGCTTTCTTACGAATCCTTCCAATCACAACCCGACACGTATCAAGTTTACGGACTACGGCTGTTTGAAAGATTTTCTTCCATAAAATTAATCGATTCTAGACTAATCCGACTCAACATTTCCAAAATACGTATATATTTTTTGGGAATAATCCGTATAAACTACGCTATAAACAAAAAATTGTAGGATTACTTACCGAGTGTCACCATTCGACATTGCCATTGCTCAACATTGTTTTCGTCGCGGAACAGCTCAGCAAAGAGCGGCCAATTTCTAACAACTTATTTTTCTGTGAAAACTTCGTAGAACTTCGGAGACATCATTAATATAAATAATTTTAATCGCCGTTGAATAAGAAATGTTTCTTTCACAAGAAATGTATAAAATTACAGTACTGTATTAGACTTACGGTACCTAATTTACATACTGACAGACGATAGTTAGCGTAAAAATCTCCGTAGCGTGGCACCACGCTAGACGGCGGAAATTATATATTTAATTATAACAAAGTTACAATAAGTTAATATATAATTATATATACAGTACCTAATTTATATATAATTAATATATAATTATATGTACAGTACCTAATTTATATAATACTGTCCAGACGATAGAAATCTCTCCGTAGCGTGGCGCTACGGACGGTGGGAAAGTAGTTCGGCTTCCCGATGACGTTTGAGGTGTTTATAGGGAACTTTTACTATTTTTTACGGATACCGGTAGCAATTTTTTCGTAGTTTTATAGGAATCGTAACTATAGGGACCGTAATTATAAGGGGGTCGACTGTACAAATATTTCATGTCTTCAAAGTAAAAATGAACTAAATTCTAAAAGAATGACTACTCTACATGAATTGCATCAAATTTTACCAATAATTTATGATATATAATTAAGTATTTTAAAAAGTGATTTAAAAAATTTAAACATTGAAATAATTACTTACTACAGATAATTGGAGCAGAAGCAACTTGTAATATTTCTACACCATCTGGTAAAGGAACAGCAACACGAAATATAAGTCTGCAACGAGTACTTCTTTTCTTACTACGAGTTCCACCATAATTTGCTAATCGCTGCTCCACATCAACATTTCGTTCTTTCAAGATTCCAATGCAGTCACAACTTTAAATATAAATGTATAAAATTAAGATTTTTTTTTATTTTTCAGTCCAAATAATATCAAGCATAATTTTTAAAAAATATTAATAAATAAAATTTTGAATTATACCTGACAGTCATATCTTTATCAGGTGACATAGTAATTTCTAAAACTGTAGTTCCATCAATTTTATTTTGCAAACAAGGTGTAGAATTTTTTCCACATACTTGACTCGCTTGATAAAATAAATGAGGTTGAATTCTTCCTTGATCAGTTCCAATAAATACTTGTAAAGTCACAGGTTCATTATATCCAAACAACTTAAATAAACAATAAAATAAAGATTGACAATGAAGATGAAATAAAGAAAAAGAAATGTGAAAGAAAAATGTTGAAAAACAAGATTTTGAATACTACTCTACATTTATAATTTATACCAATAAAATTCCAATAATTATCCAATAATTAATCCAATAAATTTCCAATAATGTTTTGGCTAAAACCATAATCCAAAATTAGATTATAGTTTTAGCTAAAATAAAGCCTAATTAATTATAGTAATAGTAAAATTATAGTAATTGGTTGATAATTTCACTAAATTCTTAACAAATTTGAAATTTATGTAAATCTAAAAATTCATTTCTTAAAATAAAATGATATTTTTGTTTAAATATTAACATACTGCAAACTCTTTAAAAAAATATATGATCACACAAAATATTGGATAAAATGAATTCACAGTTAAAATCTATTTAAATGTAAGGGTGTGACTATGCAGACACGAATTTATAACGAGTGAGAGCTTGCGAGAGATTTAGTTTTCGCAAAGGAAAACTATGCACAAACGAGAAGTTAGAAGTAACGCTAGCGAGAGCGAATTTCTGGTTCTCGCACATATCTGACAAGTTTTGATATTTATTGCGTCTCGCCTCTTCTCACCACATATTCTCGCTCGCTCGGAAAATTCGCTTGCTCGCATCTGCATAGTCACACCCTAAGGCTAAACAATATACATTTGGCTAGTGAAAAAGATTTGGTGTTAATTTTAGTCAAAATAAATAAGCTCTAAAAACATTCAATTAAAATTTTGAGTTAAATAAGAAAGGTCTATGAAGAAATTACACATTATTATTTTATTAATTAATGTTATAAATCAAAAATTAATAAATGACCCAGAATGCATGCAATATTTTTAAAATTTTAGTTCATTCAAAATTATTTTGATAATTTTACCTTGACAGTTGGGAATCCAGTTCCTCTTCTATCTTTTATAGAACCCCTACTTCCTTCAGTTAAATATCTCGCTCTGTGTTGTTCCTCTGGTTGAGAAAGAATCCTTAACTCTAAATTACTATCTTTTTTTCGGCTAGGAAAACTTGCACACAATATTGACTTCTTAAAAACAGGTTCTTTTTTTGATAAAGATCCTGAACTATTATATTTTGTAGAAGAATATTTAGCAGGGTATTTTGAAGCACAGTTATTACTATGGATGAGTGGATTGGAATATGGTGGTGAATTAGACACTGCTTTATTTTCGCCAGATGATTGTGTAACTTCTCTAGAAAAAAAAATTCTGAATTTTTTTATTACGTTTATATATTTAGTACTAATTACAAAATTTGTGAGACAACATTTTGCTAAAGGTATGATGAATATCAAAAACCACTAATCAAAGTTTTTTTTTATACTAAATGAACTATCAAACCACCTTCTATTGCTGAGAAATGCTTTATTAAACAAACACAAATGTTTTCAACCTAATGCAATAGGCCATCTTTAGGTGTAACCAAATTAGAACACCTTTTCAAAATGGAACATTTTAATGAAGGAACATTCAAACTCTCATATTTAAATTTAAATGAGATCAATTAACATTTAAATACAAATACAAAGTATTTAAACAAATAATAAATTAAAATATAAAATGCATCAAAATATATGGGCAGGTGCAGACTAAGAATTCTTATATTTTAATTTTTCTTTTATGCAGAATTTCAATGCATTAGGTAGTCCATCTGCATCCTGGGCATTTATGCAAGCATCTTTTAATTTACTTTTATAAATTTCAATTTTCTCTTGGCTCAATGCTAACATAGATGAATTCATACTTCTGAGGATACTTGTTTCATTCCATTTAATTATGGAGTCCTGTACTTGTGCCATACTGGACAAAACCAAGTTGCAGTGCCCCTTTTCACTGTCATACTTGTGCTCTTTGAGCCTAATTCCCAGATTCCTTCTTGTGACCCCAACATAACTCTTCTTTATTCCTAACTACTGATTTTCAAGTAGAATTCTGTAAATGCCTGCTTTTTCTTCATTTTTGAGCTTATCTTTATCATTTCTCAAAATACTGTATACATTAGGAGCCTTTTTGAAAACTATTTTTGCATGTTTTTTGTCTACCATTTGTTTCTTAATATTCTTGATGTTTTTGTTATACGTAAACTTAGTGATTTTACATTGAGTTCTCTTTTCCTTCTTTTGTACTTTCTAATTAGACCTTGTACTCTTTTTATATCCCAAACTCATGGTTATTTTCTTGATTTGATTAATTTCCTTGATTCTATCTAGTACATTAGAGCAATATAAACACACTCTTCTAATCAGTGCACAGAAAACCAACAGTTTATATTCAAACAACCTGTACGAATACAAACAGTTGCAACAAGTGCAGACTATGTTTCTATATACATATCAGTTTCACAATGTTTGATATATGTATATTTTGGTGCATTTTATTTTATTATTTATGTTATTTTGTATTTGTTTAAAATATTTTATATTTATATTTAAATGTTAATTGATCTAATTTAAATTTAAGTATGAGAGTTTGAACATTCTTTTGTTAAAATATTCCATTTTGAAAAGGTGTTCTAATTCGGTTATACCTGAAGATGGCCTATTGCATTAGGTTGAAAACATTTGTGTTTGTTTAATAAAGCATTTCTCAGCAACAGAAGGTGATTTGATAGTTTATTTGATATGATGAATATTTTCTGCATATAAAAACTGACCTAAAAGTATATTTTATTGCTTTTTATTTATCTCCATATTAAATTACCTTTTCTTGAGATAGAAGTGCCAATTTCAAAATACCATGATAATTTTTATTTTGTTTAAAAATTAACTCATTGACAGATTAATGAAATCTACCATTTCTTTTAGTTAGTTATAAAACACATTATCATTTTTTTAATCCTTTACCTTGGCATTTAAGCTTTATTAAATTTGACACTTTTGAAACTACTTTCCATTCATTTCAAATCAGAAAGTAGCCCTGTGATATTTTTCAGGGATATGAGTGATATCCCTGAAAAAAATATTTCAAAAATTTATCAATAAAATTACTGTAATACCTAATTGTTCCAGAAAAATTTTTCTTCAAACTAATTTAAAACAAATAAAGTAAGAAAGTAGCTCTGAAAATTCATATCTCTCTGAAATTTTTATTACTTTTAGATATACTGCGATAGCATTTTTTTATTTGGAAAGCACTGTTTACAATTAATTTAAAAAAATTAACAGTTAAAGTAAGTATTTGTGTTACATTAATTCTTTGAAAATGACATTTATTTATTTGAAATTAATTTAAAATGATATTCTGATATCACTAAAGTTTCATTTTGGTCAGTCTTATTTGAATTATTTTGGAACATTTTCCAGCAGAATATAATGAATTTCCAAAAATTTTATTTGAAAATTATTTATAATGTGAAACAAATGACAAAAGAAATAAAATCATTTCCTAATTGAATCACTACATTTAATAAATATTGTACTGCACTATCTTTTAAATAGAACAAAAATGTGTGTTCTTCCATTTACTCCAAGTATTTTTAAATGATTTTAACAATATTAAAAATATTTAAACAAATACATCGCACTAACCTTGTATAGCTTTGCAGTTATTACTTAGAACATATCACAAACGTTTTTGACTCATTTTTAGGGTATTCTTCTTATAGAACACCTGAAGAAGACACTAGAAATGCTTCAAAAATGTTTGTGATATGTTCTAAGTAATAACTGCAAAGCTATACAAGGTTAGTGCAATGTATTTGTAATTATCACTTTGTTTATTAGATGGATTTGATATTTAAACATAGTTCTTCACAAAATCATTCATAAAATTTTTAGATTTCCTTCCATTTCAGCACAAAATATTTAGAAAAAGTATTTAGTATGTTTAAACCATCCTAAGTCTTTGGCAATAAGCCCCAAAAGTTTTCTTACTGTATTCTGGTTTAAAAAAAAAGTAAAATTAGAACCACACTTTTATTTATCAGGGAAAAAAAGAAAAGTTTAAAAGAAGTCATTTACCATTAAAATATTCAACAAATATATACAAAAGCTGTTTAGCTATAGCAAAAATAATAATTATTATTATTATTGTGTTTTTAATTAAAGAATAACATTTGTATTCAAGACTTTTTATTTTTATTCATATAGGTTACAAGTAGCCTATTGAAGGTCATTTGGGGAATTTGTTAATATATGGAAGATCACAACTTAAAAATTGTTCTGATCTTATATGTGAAAACTTTTTTTTTGCACAAAAGTTGCATTCTATATGCCATAAAATATGGACATTTTGACAATATTCTGGCTTATTTACAGCATATAACATAACTTTATTGATTATTTATGCTTTCTATATTAGATCAAATTGGTTGGAATTTTTGACATTCTGAAACAGTACACAGGTGCCTTGACAACTACTTTTTATTATATCGTTCATTACAAACAAGTGCTCAAACAATGCATGTTTGTTTCTGTTTACTAAAATTTTTTTGTTCATGATCGATTCTGTTTTATTTTTTTCAAAGTGATTGACAATGAAAAGTTAATAAATTTAATTCAGCAGCACTTATTTATTTATGACATTTCACACAATTATTATGACTCTGTTGGGAAAGATGCTTTATGGAAGGAAATCTGCAAAATTCTAAATGGAAATTGTAAGTAAAAGCCTTCTAACCCTAACATGCAAACAAAATTTGTTTTTGTTTGTAAAAAGGGTTCTGATTCTGACCATTCTGATCTGATTTAGTATGCAGCAAGCTTTTGTTTCTGTTCCAATTCTGACTGTTCTGATCTGATCCAATATAGTGTACAACAAGCTTTACATATGGTAACTCAAACACTATTGATCTACCAATTAGCTCTTTCTTTAGCTAACTTTAAGTAATGTAAATCACTTTTAAACAGTTTTAAATAAAATTTTTTAATAAATTGACTTTCTGATATTTTACATATCAGTTTCACAATGTTTGATATATGTATATTTTGGTGCATTTTATTTTATTATTTATGTTATTTTGTATTTGTTTAAAATATTTTATATTTATANTATATATAAAAATATAAGCAGCAATAAATATGCTGCTTATATATATAAGCATATTTATTGCAAAAATAATTAAGTAAGTAATAAAGAAAATTCTTAAAACAGAAAAAACTGCAGTATTATTCCAAGATATGAAACAGAACAGACATGGGCAACATAAATTTTCTATGCGTGCATACTTTAAAGATTTTTAAATATATTTACATTACAGGTAATTGGCAATAAGTCTATATGCTCAGTGAACAAAAGCTATAACATTATAGCAATAAATTTCAAGACATTTATAGTATTCATATTTTCTTTACTGATTAGTACACTTTGCAATGTGTGTAAATTGCTACATGTGGTTAGAATATAGTTAACCAAGTTACAATATCCAGAACTCTCACCTTAATATTAAACAACTGGTCAAAAAGTTGTAATCCAAAATTTCTGATTAAAGTGAGTAAAATTAGCTTTTCTTGCATTTTTATCCACAATTCTAAATGAATAAAAATCAGATAATTTTATTTATATCATAATCTTATATATAAATAAATTTTATGCAGAATTTATATAAACTTTGATGTGTTTAGTGTTTTGTTCTGATCTCACATCAAAAAGTGTCATATAACTATTACAGAAAGGTTGCCCACACCTGAAATAGAGGAATGGAAGTTAAATAATATATTAATTAATTTACTCAAATAAAAAAATTTAAGGTAATGAAATATAAATAGCAAATTAACAAAAATGAAATTATGGAAACTGAAACAAAGATAAAAAATGTATCGTTGTCACTTGATTTGTGTGAAGGATAACCATGTCAACATGAGGGAAAAGTATTTGAAATAACCAAATGTTAATCAATGGATGAACTGTAAGGATATGGCATCTTAGTTTTAGGTATTAAAGAAATAAGTAAGTGGAAAAGATATAGGTCATTTTATTTTTATTCTATTTTTTAAAATATTTAAATTATAGTATTTGTTTTAAAATTTGCAGTATTTAAAGCTAGTTAATCTGATACCTTCATTTGAGATCAATGAGTTTTTTTTAACTACTTACATATAAAGCAAATTTCATCTGTTAATATAAGCAATGAACTAAAAATTATTTTTTATAAACAGGTTAACATTTGTTAAATAATTATATTAAAAAAATTCAAGTTTAAAAGTTTTTATTAAAAACTTCTAGAATTTAAAACCTTCATAAAGTCAGTTATATAT